CCAACACAAACTCACTCTTGCAGATGAGCACCGACTGGGCTGCACGCCAATGCTGCAGCTGCTGGACTTTTTCTTGGCAAAGCTGTTGAAGATTTCGGGCTTCGCATGCAGTGCTGTGGGTTGAGGTTTCACTCAAGTTGAGCTTTCGGGGTTTACGGTTCTGTGAGGAGCCTCAACCTCAAGATTTATCAAGCCTTATGCTTCTTTTGAAACATGGAAGAACTTTATGCGTGCGAGCAACGGAACTTCAATTTACAACTTGATGCTTGTGGTGGCACGAATAGCAGGACTAGTAGCAGAAGCAGGTAGAAGATGTTATCTTCCCGTTTTGTCAGCAGTTTAGTTCTTGCGTCGCCCGGTTTCAACGGACTCCCTGAGCGCTCGGGGCTAATGCCGCACACCTCCACTCAGACCCCACCTTGCATCTGGAATGTACTATGGAACCCCCGAAAAGGTGTGTAAAGCCGCAGCATCGAGGTTCATGGCCCAAGAGTTTCTGTGAGCCGACTGCCAAGTTCGCATCAATCTGCAAGGACGCAGACAATAAAGACAGATGCCGCAGTTGACGTGGGCCTCTTGAGGTGCATAATATGTCGTGGGCTTTCTTGTGTAATAAACACCCAGGGCTTCTCATAAGAGTTTCAGACAACAGCGGACCTTTATGCAGAACTCTCTGCAGTAATCGGTCATAATCGAGGCATAGCATTCAGCGTGTACCCCGATGAACCGACTGAACGCAGGATCCATGCCACGACCAAACGTGGTTGTCATGCTACCGAGAGCCTCCGCATGCGCCCACAAGCAACGTGCACACAGGGACGTACACACATGGACGTGGAGAGCTGTCGGTACGTTGGGCGGCCAAGTTAAAGCAGAACCGCCTCTAATGTGTGCGTCATGCCAAGTCACGTCAGCACAACTTTTGGAGCAAGCGCTCGGAATACGGGAGTCCAAGCAGAAACTGTAGACACTGTAGACGCTGTCCATGTGTGCTTTAGGGCACATGTGGCAACATTCGGGGAACCGGTGGGAATTTGGGAATGCCCGAAGAATTTCGACGGACCCTGTCCATTTCATTCTGTTAGGGCTCTCGTAGGTTCTCTTAGGCAGGTCCGAAGTTTGAGATCCCAAAAAATTGCAGACGCAGAAGTCGAAGTTTAGCTGCTGCAGCGCATGCTATCGCGGCTTTGGGGCCTTTTGTTTGGGTGGCAGGACGATGCCGATTACAGGCCGGACAACGAAATCAGCGGCCACTGCGAAGGGGACAACACACCCTACAAGGACATCAGGGAAGCGACGCTGGGGGGGTGCGCTCGAGGGTTCATTCGGATTTCAGATATCTTTTTATGGTCGGGGTTTTACATTTGTTGGCTGAAGTTTTGTGTATCTCAATAGGTTTTCGTCAGGGCTTTAGGCTGGGTTTTCATTTTGACACTTGTGTTGCAGTCATCATCGCCATGCAGTGCCCTGCTTTTGGAGCTCCGAAGCTGGTGGGAAGGCTGTTGCTCGTTGTCTTCTTGTACTACAGGGGCCTTAATTGTTATCGATACTATTTTGGTGGCTCCTTCTTACAATTTTAGTATCATGGGCCCCAAAACCCAGTTCTAATTACTAAGGCCCCTATATTAGAACCGTTTCTGGGTGCCTGCAGACCCTGTCCCAAGTATTTGGGGCCCCTGTGCGACAGCTTTGTTGTTGGCTGGTACTGCTTTCACTGCACGACCATTGGCCTTGTTGCATTATGGGTTGGGATTATTAGCATTGCTCTTCTCTTCGACCGAAGCCCTGAAACGCTTAAAGCCTAAACCAAGCCTGCAGCGTTGGTACAAGGATGAGCGCGGCTGCGTCGCGGCTGGCTACAAGTGGCGCTCCAGGACCTGTCACGAAGAGCTGTCGAGCCAAAGCGTAGATGCTTGGCCATGGATGCAGTTTTGTCGAATTGTTGGGGCTTAGGGGTCGCCTTCTCGCAGAAGGTGGGGTCCCCTTCCCTGCTGTGCTCCCCAAAACTGTATTTCAAGCCCTATGAGATCTGAGGAATGGCATAAGGCTGTGGTCGAGGCAACAGAGAGTGGCACCTGCAGCAGTCATATCTTCTTGGGTACTCCTATAGAGGATCTGATCGCGGAGCCCTCCAGGAAATGCTGTGCCTCGGCGCCAGCGAATGCTTGCTACAAGGACTTGCAGAAGCAGACGCCATGCCAGGACGCTGGCGATTTCCTTGGTGATAAGGTGACCGCTGGATTCTGCGATTTCCCTGACTACCACTTTGACAGCTCGGGAGCTGCGGAACGTGGTTGCAAGGCCGTGGATAGTGGCTGCGATCAGGACAGCGGCAGGTGCGTTTGCATCCCGACGCCGGAGGCCAAAGCAGGCTGCGAGTTAGCTGGCGCCATTTGGCGGGAGTCCACCTGTGCCTCCGAGAACGATGCCAACGATTTCAGGTGGCACATCCTTGTCCAACATGCTCGCCAGGCTGGCTGTGATTTCGAGCTTCACATGGAGCCTTTCTCGGAGCACATGTCCCACGCCTCCCAACGCTGTTGTGCTTCCTACCCGGCCTCCGTCTGTAATCCTGTGGTGAAGCCCATGACGCCTTGCAAAGATGAAGCAGACTTCCTACCAGCCAAGTCTGTCTTCGGGCACTGCGAGCTCAGCTCGCAGGTGGAGGCTGGAATTTGCGAAGCAAACCTGGGGTGCGCCCTCCAGGGCAACAACTGCGTCTGCTCCTTCCGGGAGAGCTGTGTGGCAGTCGGAGGCACCTGGAAGGTCACAACCTGCGAGATGCAAATGCAAAGCTTCGAACCCGAAATGCACAAGGCCAGGCAGGGTTCCCGGAATCCTGAAAGCTGTAGCCGGGGTTTTAAACAGGGGCATGTGCTTTCCCACGGTGCCGGGACCCACGTTTCACGACACGTTTCTCATCCTGATTTTCTATATCTCTGAATCCAAGCAAAAACGACAGCTGCGAGGCCTTGCAGGAGGCTAACGCGACCGGCGTCTGCACAGGGTGGACGATGGACGGGCCTTTGCAAGATCTCGTCGCTTGGTTTTCCCGGAGACGTTCAGGGCTTCCCGTATGGGTAAGCACTCACATAAACATAGACTGTTAGCCCCTATCAGGTCACCCACCTTGGCGAGAAGTGCTGTGCATCCTTCCCAGCCACGGTCTGCGACAAGACGGCCAAGAAGTCTAAGATGCTGGGTTTTAATTGGAGCACACTGGCAGAGGGTAGAAACAACCCTAGAGCCACCCAGAAGGCGCCACTCGCACAAGACCACCTCAAGTCGTTCGCAGTCTCGTCCATGAAGCATGTGTAGACACTGCTAAAGCAACCTACATCTTTGTCGGGTCCTGTGTACAGCCCAACATAGAGTTCCGGTTGAGGAACCCCTAACCCCTAAACCCGAAAGCCTGAATCCAAAGCCCTTTCTGAACCCAGAGCCCCAAAACCCCAAACCCAAGACCCGAATATACAAGCCCAACAGAAGTATCACCAGTATTCCTTCTTGGAGGGTTGCTTTTTGCGATCACAGCACAAAAACCCCGAGCCATGTACTAATTATTGTTATTAAGCCCCCTAGACTGAACCGTAAAGTAGATGATGGCACGTGTGTTACGGGCTGCTGTGCCATGCACAGGCTCGTTGTGCGACTGCCTTCTTTGTACTGTGTACCGAGAGCCACCTGTCGGAGTAGCATGCGCAGATGATACTTGGGAGCTTCTGAAAATTAAGGGTACCTTAGTTTGGGGTCCTTATAATAAGGATCCTACTCTTCAGGGTATTACATTTGTGTGCCCTCTTTTCGGAAACTCCCATTTTAATTTTGGGTAGCAGAAGTCGTGGGGTCCAAGCATTGGGACCCTTGAAGAGGTCGGCGGTGGCGGCAGATGGTAATGTAGGGGCCCTAATGATTAGAGTAGGGTTTGGGGGCATAGTGTACTATAGATATAAATATATTAAGGAACACCCAAATGCCTATTCTAATTCTTCAGGCATATAGAGTAGGTAAAAAGTGCTTCTGGTTTTCCCAGGAGCGACTTGCTAAAGCCGGGAACCTCTGTGGGACTGGCCGCCGTTAATGCCAACAGGTTCCTACGCTGCTCAGCTCACATGAAGCAGGGTCTGCATCTTTCGATCTTTTCAGGGGTTACGGTTCAGAAACCCCGGCTAAACCGGATGTGGACATTTTTTGTGTTTGGTAGTTTGTTGATGGTTGTTGAGAAGGTTTGTAAGGGGAATGAATAGGTGTTGCATCTTTGATGTAGGGTTTACGTGAGGGTGATTGTTGATGTACTTAGGATGTGGCATGTAGGGCCACATTCGTCGGTGGGATGGGTAGCAGCTTGAACCTATGTGACGTTTTATTTTGGCAGGATCCTACGCACCAACCCTACGCCTTGAATTTCGTAAACCCTAAATGCCCGAGCCTGAAAACCCTAGCCCCAGACCGCTGAGCCCCAAACCCTGAACCCAAGAAGCGACAGAGCTTGTGCAGACTGTGGCTCTCTTTCCCTTAAAGGAACCCCTTTAGAACCCTACAAAAGCCCATAGCCCTAAACCTTAATCCCCAATTCTAAACTCTAATGGTTTAGAACTTACAACCATCTTATTCGATTTTCCCAGCTTCTAGGAACCCCTGCTCTGCCTGGCGAAAGCTCATCAAAATGTCTTGAACAAAGGTCCATAGGTACCAAGTCTGCAGGGCACACATATCAACCCAAAATGACAAGCCTTCTAAACCCTCTAAACCCTAGGCCCTAAACCCTAACCGCCTTCTCGCACTGCAGGGGTGAAGCCCGTTTACGGTGACGAGGAGGTTGGTATTGGTTGGCCGCCCGCCTTCCAAAGAAGGGAAGCCAACGGGTTTTCTAACGGGGGGGGGTGTCGGGTTTCCTTCCAGGCTCTTGGTTTTGCTGTGGTTTGGGCTTTAGGGTTCAGGGCAGGGATTCCATGTTTCAAAAGTTTGAACAAGGGCTTGCAGGACTTCTGTAGGGTTCAGCGTTTGGGAGTTTAGATTTTTGTCAGGTTAGTAGGGTTCCACAAGGGTGTAGGGTGTCCACGCGTTTTATACAAAACCTCCTTCATTGTTGAGGCCTTAAATTTAGGCGTTTGCAAATGACAGCCCCCAACTCCTTCAGTCTTTCAGGTATCAGATATTATTGCTATTGCTCTTGCTCGATCTTTGTGATTGTACATTCTATTGCCACGGCCGCAATGACTCGCGGTTCCCACCGCGCCGTCCGGCCTGCAGCGGCTAAGAGGCCTGGCCGTTTGGAGCAGCATGCTGCCGTCGTTTGCAGCTTGCTGCTTCAACACTGAAGACCGCTCGGATGTGGCTTGGTGCAAGCGCATGCAAGAGCATGTTCCCAGGGGAAACGTGTACCCAGAATCCCCTCCCCAACCTGGCAGCCAAGCCCGTTGCGCGCTCCTCGTCCTTATTGCCGGCCGGCCCGAAAGATGAGGTGTGGGAGCAAGGCGAGCAGTGTTTGCATTTGATGGTGGTCATTGGACGGTGCTTTCCGCATCTCTGAAACGCGCACTGTCGCAGTTCTCGTCGGTGTCTCCGCTTGGAATTGGAGCAGCCGTCAGGAGCATGAGGCTTCCCAATTTCAATCGTGATTTTCGAGCCAGGGCTACGATCGATCCTTCCAGGCTGACAGTGCACAGAACACAAGCAGACCGAGCCATGATTCTGAAACCCACTTACAACATGTGAGATGTTTGCAGTGCAAGTTTGCAGTTGGCCTGAGCAACATTCGCTCCGATGCGACTTTGTCTATCGCGAGAAGGAATGACATTGCAGCGAGCATCGTTGCGTTCCGTCTCAACTGTTCCTATTTTTCGTACCTCCCAGCATTAAAGTATGCAAGAGCTTCTCTGACTCCAGCATCATGGTGTTTAGGCTCGGCCTGTCATGAACTTGTGCGCAACATATGTGCTTTGCAGAGATGTGGATCGTTACAGTCCTGAATACTCCACCTATCAACAAGAAATGCTGTTCGAAACCATGGTGGTTCAGTCCCGGGCACAATGATTCCAGACACCTTTTGTTTTCGGAAGCTGTAAAATAGATCTTTTGCAGGCGGCATTCCTTCCAGCTTACTGTTCCAGGAGTCGTTGTTACTCGGCTCAGCTGACAGTTGTGTTAGCTGTCAAAGCCTATTGAATCTTGAGCTCTTGTACTATGTCCTTGAGAACTCATACTGGCAAGCAAGGCAAGAATGTAGTTAAAAGCTTTCCATAATGCCACAGTCGCACACAAATGAAGATTGCCAGCGCTACCAGTTCTTCCCCGTGACTTTCAACGGAGGGTTGATCTAAACCCCGTGCTTCTCGGTGACAGTGTCGGCTCTTGCTGCAAGCATCGGTTGCATTGCAATGACCGAGCCCGCGGTGTAGCTCATCTTATCGCATTGTTTCTGGCCGCAAAGCCTCGGAAGCTCCAAGAGCCATACTTCCGGATGCATTTTGATGACTTCAAAATCATCGGATTTGCCGATGAATGCTCATTTCCCCAGCATCCATCCTTTGAAAACCATGGATTTTCCGTGTTTCTGGCCCAATTCCAATGGGCGGAACTCGGAGATCCACCCGCGTTCTGATGTAAATGGCACATCCTATAAGCAGAAAAATGTAAACGCTTCGAAGTCGGCCCCTTAAAGCGCGTCCGCGTGCTCGACTGTTAGCCAGGCATTTCAGCAAATGCTGCATACAGTCTGAAATGGCGTGTTCGCCACGAAGGAGATGGTGATAAATTCAGGGCAGTGCTAAGTCTGGGTGCTTTGAGCCGGCAGCCGGAGACCACCGCATGTTGACGGAGGTTCAGAGCCTGGAAGAAGCACGAGCAATATGGGTGAGCGGATACTATGGCGCTGCATCTTGCATCATGACGTAGTAGCACATGACTCGCTGAGAGCAAGCGCCTGAGCGCCTGAGGTTGTTTGGGTGTCGAAGGTGAGGTGCACCCCCATCAAAGCTTATTTGCGGTTGGCGCACCTTTGCCGCTGCCGCAGCCACTTACATCTCCCGCACGCTTCTTTTAGGAATTCATGCGCGGGCTCCCTTATGGTTTGCGCTTGCTGTTGCCTACGTGGCAGATTCCTCAGTTCAGAGGTGGTCTTTGTGGGCTCACCGTCGTTGCTGGGTTTGGAGGGATGCGCTCACTGCTTGTTCTGCGGATTTGCCTTCGATCACAACTGTCGTGCGGGACTTCGCCCTGCAGCATGGCGCTTTTGTCCAGACGCCGAATTCTCTTTGCGAGTTGTGTCGATTGCCCTGCCAAACCGAAGCATGAGGCACAACGTGGCCGCTGCCACGCGAAACCTTCGAACTTGTCCATAGGGGATGCTAACTTCCGGGCACCGGCTGCATGCTTGTGCTGGCAAGTATTCACTCGCTTCGCCGTCTCCAGGTGGAGGGAAGAAGCTGGGAGTGCCGCGAACGCAGTGGGCAATGGTGGGGCTGTCCCGAGCTTGGTCGGCCTGCCCGTACGCAGCATCCGATCTGCTCGGCCCCGGTCCCCGCTTCTTTTTCCTGACCTTGTGCAGCTCTTCCCATATACTCGGCAAGGGGCGCGCCAAGTGGTACCAAAGGCCGACGGGGTGCAGCGCTCTTTGCAGCTCCTTGGCCGGGAGCCTCACCGAAGTAGCTTCCCTCGGTCAGCAAGTGGTCGCAGCCACACTGCTCGCAGATTCCAGCCCACATGCCGTCTATCGTGACGGGCTCGGCCTTGGACCTCGCCGAACACCGCCGACGAGATGGGAGCCGAAAGCCAGCGTCCCGAAATCGACATCATCAGGCTCGGGAAAGCAAACCAGCGTGGATTGAACTCCAAGAGCGAACTCTACGAAACGACCCCGGCTTTTAGGGTAGAGTCAGTGGGAAGGCAGCTCAGTGGTGGCAAACGAACCACCATCACCGTATATGCTTGGTGCATATGTGGCACATATGCACCAAGCATATACTGTGGTTGCAGATTCCAATTGACCAGTGACGTGAAGATGCTGATTCAAGCCGCGAGACGCGGCCTGCCTGGGCATCGAAAGTGTCCAAAGCAGCCGATCGTTGCCCCGTGCTCAAATACATGTTTAACTGGGCCTGATCCATGGCCACATGACTGAGAGGAGCGTGCTCGAGCTGTAACTCGCCATTATGTTGGCTTTTTCTGTAGCCGTCGTTCCAGTCTGTTCGGAATTGACCCGCCTGTCACTCTCCTCACCATGCCGCGAAGTTTACTGTCGCCACGCATCTTCAAAGCTTTCTGCAGTATGTTCTGTCGTGGCAGCCTTGATCTATCGGTACGTGTTCAGTAGCCAAGTGATGCTCTCATTGCTTGAGACATATCTTAACTTCCAACCTCGCGGCATGGGTTTGCATAAATGCAAAAAGAAGGCAGCGCTTGTTGATGCCTGCCATGGGGGATTTGTACATCACACTTGCGTCGGCGGTCTTTGATTTACTAATGTTCACCCATCGCTCATGGATCCATAGCCCACCCATCATACCGAAGCATGCCTTAGCAGCAATGCACCAATACGGTCGGCGGAAGATGATTCGGGATGGTTTTCTTGAAAATTGAAACGACATGTCGATGTGGGGTTTCAGAAAATGGGCACCCTGCTTAAGCAATCGTTTTGCGGCGACAATTTAAGCCCCGTGTTTCCGACGGAAGTTCCGGTCCAAGCTGGCCTCTTGCGCTCAGGTGGATCCACTGGAATGACTTTGTCTTTCCGAGGAACTGGGTCCACGAAGTCTTCACGGTGGCTCGTCTCGAAAGTTCCGTCTTCAGGATAAATTCTCGGCCGTGAAGCTTTGTGTCTGCAATTGCGCGTGCTGAGTGGGCTTACAGGTGTTGGAGTCGTCCGTGACAGGGCTTTCAGAACGCTTGAGGTGTCGGTTTTTTGGCAGGGTTTGCGGTCGGGGGTATTGTGGAGAAAGGATGCTTATACGCAACCTTCGAAGAATCCACAATCCACAAGACTCCAAAACAAGTATTCGATGAACCATCCTGCACGTTGTACTTCAAAAGGCAAAGCAATCAGACTCCCACCCGACGGCCCGCGATAGCCCAGCCTGAATCCTTTAGCCCAAACCTCAAATTTCGAATTGTCACCGTTACCCTAATGTGAACCTGAAACCCTAAAGCTGCAAGCCCGAATTTAAAGTTCTTAACCCCCAAAACCGTTTAACACTTTCATAAAAAACCAGCTATCCATACCCTAAACCTCAGGTGGTGGACGCTGGGAATGGGAACATCGCGTTCCACCAGGCCGGTGGTCGCTTCGTTTGGGTTTACAGGTTATAGGGCAGCTTAGGGTCCAGGGGGTGGTTACATCCGTTAGGGTGAGACACCCAAGCCGCTCGCACCGTGCATAACAGTTGCCTCGTTAGTTTCGTGAGCCTTCTAGGCATCTTAGTCGAGGCTTGGGCATAACCCAGTACATCGTGAGATTTTGGCGTGTGCCTGGATTGCTTGACATCGTTACAGTGCGGTGAACCCTTTATGGACGTTTTGGAAAAAATCTTGGGTGTTGTCGCAGGCTGAGGCAGGTCTCGCGTCTCTGCAACAGAAGAGATCTCCAGGATGCGCAGTGCCGGTTTAGTCGCAAAATCAGCTAAGATAAGCGTTGCGATCAGAAGGGTTTAGGGCGTTGCGATCAGAAGGGGGAGTGCGTGCGTGTGTGTGTGTGTATAAAATAAATAAACAAAAAACGTACATACACATATATATATATATATATACACATATATATATACAGAATATAATCTATCGGCTTGATTCTCTCTCTGTATGTAGCCATAAACATACATGTATATATATATATATATATATACATATATATATATATGTACCGAACGTGCGACAAGGGTTCGTAATGGTCTACAGATTGGTACACGTATGCGAAATTCCGTTTCGTGCCGGTAGCAGGAATCTGATATAAGAAAGCACAGATAATCCTATGCATCCCGCTTCTCTGGCCAGGCCAACGTCAACCGATTCTTGAGGCTGGAAGCGGACAAGATTATCACCAGCTCCTCTGCCGAATACATCCCTGATTGTAGAGAGTAGGTACAATAATTGAGCTGAAAGAGCTTACAAAGGAAACTTTATAAGGATTGGGTTTCCGGGATGTGATGTTTGACAACTTTGGTCGGATAGGATCATAACGGTGATGAGATAACTAGTCAGGTCGAACAACATGCGTCCGTAGCTGTAACTTTACTTGTCGCCCCAACTCGGGTAGTTATAACCATCCCTACTACATCATTGATCTTCCAAGTATAGTTGCGGCTTACGTGATCTCGTGGGCCCTTACTTAGCCCCTATATGCAAACCCTTTAAGGACCTCTGTGTTGAGCCTTAATCTCCTGTAGAGTCCCTACTTACCCTTAGCCCTAGACCCGAAGCAGCTGTCTCGGATCCCTACTTCAGGCAGCCCCATGGCCGCCTACGAGCTACCCTCAGACTCGCCGGGCGAAGTCTTCCAGGCCTTCAGCATGAGGGATCCTTGGGGACTTAGACCGCCGGAAGGAGACAAGGAGAAACCGAGAAGCAGCAACAAGCCGCTGGAGACTTTGACGCGGGCAGAGGAGACTTTGAGAAGGAGAAGCAAGCAAGTTGCAATATACTTCCAAATATCAACAATAGGAGCAAAACGCTCGAAAGAGATTAAGCATGTTGAAGGCAAGAGAGTTTGAGGTTGAGGGGCAAGCCAGTCGTAGAGCACAAGGAAGTTTGAACATCTGGAGGAAGCCGAAAAGACCTTGGCCAGTTGGACCAGGAGGGAGATTTTTTTAAAAAGGGCACATATCTCGAAAGTTTGAGAAGCAGAAGCAGGCCGTGCGAAAGAGGCTAGAAAGATCGACAAAAGGAGATGATGTGAACGTGCAAGGAGTCGGAAGGGTCTAACAAGTGCCAAGCATAAGGAACAAACTGCTCGAAAGGAAATAGGGAGTCGGAGGAGGAAGGAGGAGCGCACCCGTCGAATGGGCTCAAAGGAGACTAGAGAACTTGACGCAAGCAGAGTTTGAGAAAAGAACGGGCAACAGACTCTTCCCTTGTTTCCCCTCGTCTCCCTCCATTTTGACGTCCCCTTGTCTTTGTGACAGGGAGGGTGGCCAATGCCACGTTTTGCGTGAAAACCCGAAACCTCAAGACCCTGGCCCTGTTTCCCGCTGTGTCCTTCCCTTGGAGCTTAGCCAGGTAACTTGTTGGGGGTTTTGGCCATGAACTTCGTAGAATGATGCAGAATCACAGCAACACCACAAGCAGACACAATTAGCCCTAAATCTAGGGGCGTTAAGAATTGCCTATATTGTTCTGGGGTTCCTCATGATAACTATGGTATAATCTACCCAGAACTCTATTCTAATTATCAATTCTCCCTAAGTAGTTCAATGCGGACAGGGAGCTTAGAGCCTCACGCACGCAGGTTGTTCACACCGGGGACGGGGAACTGATTGCCTTCTACAATCCCCACTTCCATCGCTTCATCGATATGAAGGGCGGCAATGTCGCTTGTATAGAAAGAGGGGGTTTCGTTGGAGTTTTACACTCAGAGGTTCGAGTGTGAGGTTGTTGTAGAATTCGGAGTGTGCCAGTGCTGCAGATCCGCCAGTCACGTGCTGGGAGTTCCGACAAACGGACAATAACATGGCCCCAACCTTGTTGCATTCCTCACATGAGGACCCCCTAGCTAGGCATTTCGACTTTGCTGGAGAACATGGTCTTTGCCATCGTCCTGTGACCGCAACCCTTCTACACCCTCCAAACAGGAAGCACAGTTTTGAACAGCCAATCCCTTTGCAAAACTGTGTGCTTCGTCATTGTTGCCTGTAGAGGCCGACACAAGAAGACACAACTTGGCAATGCAGGGAGAGACTCCTCTTTGAGTGTGGGGTTTAGGGCATAGAGCGCGGGGTTTCGATGGTTTGGGGCTGGGGGTTTGGGGACGTAGAGTTCAGGTCTGGGTTAGACTTCATCAGCTACCTGCAGCATCTTCAGCAGACATGCCTGAACCTGGAAGCGCCCAAAGCACTAAACCCTAGGGTTTAGAGATAGGGTCCGATCGAGAGTCTCTGGCTCCAACTGTTGTGGAATCAAGGTGCTAAGTGTCAGCGATGTCCAGACCGTCGAGGACCTGCCGTGTTGGGTTACCTTGCTTCGTGGAAGCAGGAATGCAGTCTGTTTTGCGGACAGACGTCTTTTGGTTTCAGGGGAATTAGGGTTTGCAGCTTTACTCAAAGCACCGGATTCTTTCTCACTCTTTCCTGGTTCCTTTGCGCCAGCCCTCCCCGATGTCAAGCTTACATCTCCGTAGCTCGTCTCTCCGCCTCCTTCCCCCTCCCTCCCTCCCTCCCTCCCTGTATCTCTCTCTCTCTCTCTCCCTCTTCGTCTTTTCTCTTTTCCTCCCTGGCTTGTTGTTCTTTGTTCCTTTTGCATATTCACCTCTCTCAACCTCTCGATCTGTCTTCTGGCTGAATGTGCGTTTGTCGTCTCTCTTAGCTTCATTTGCCGTTTGCATGCGCTGTGGTTGTTCTGTTCCAACTTTCTGCCTCTGTTGTTTTCTTGCACCCGTGTGTGTCATGGAGTTCTTGCTTGTATCCGTCCCTTCAGCACGATTGCTTATTCGGTTTCTGTCCTTGATGTCTGTGGCTGTCTCGTCTCTGCCTCAGTCTCTCTCATGACTTCGTTGTCTCGCTCTGTCTCACTCAAATTTTCGAGTTTCTTTCATGCGTCTTGGTTTCCCCCACTCTCAAGCATGCTGGTCCACTTCGTGCGCTGTGCCCACCTTATCTGCCGTGTCGCTTGGCCCCTTGTGCTGCACAGATGCAGATGCTTGTTGCATGGGTGGTTGTCAAAATAGGGGTCCCGTTTTGGGTACCCTAAATAATAGGTGCCGTATTATAATAAGGACCCAAAAAGGGACCATAATTTTGACAACCGCCCATGTAGCGATTCTGCCTTACCAAAATGACACTGCTTCCTTGATAATGGGAAGGAGGATATGGGGCCTTTCGGTGGAATGCGACTACCTCGGCCGCACTGCCAAAACTGGAAGAAACTGTGAATCCGCAATACCCCATGCTATGCACCTGAAACCACCTAAAGCCGCAACCCTAAACACGATCAGATTTACAAAGGCCCTAAACCCCAATCCCGATACCTAAATCTCGAATCCTGAAAATGTGAACTTTGCAAACCCTGTAACCCCTACCCTACACACCGAAGACAAAAGCCATCAACACCATGACAGATCCATGGAGGACGGCATGGGCCCCCAAGTAGCTCGTGGCATCAAGTTCAACGTCGTGGAGGTGGTTTTCATTACTTTTTCGACTGCTGTTCCTCTTGCTACTGTGTCTGTTGTTGGCATTTTGCTGCTCTTGTTGTGGTTGTTCTTGTTGTTGTTGTGGTTGTTGTGGCTGCTGCTGTTGTTGTTGTGGTTGTTGTGGCTGCTGCTGTTGTTGTCGTTGTTGTTGCTGCTGTTGTTGTTGTTGTTGTTGTTGTTGTTGTTGTTGTTGTTGTTGTTGTTGTTGTTTTAGCCGCTATGGATCACAGCAGGCTGTATAGCACTGCTAACAGGGCTCCGGGTACCAACGCTAGAGGCTCGCAACGGCCCCCTTCTGCGAAGCTTAAGGGACTGTCCTCTTTCTGAGCCATAGCCATCCCTGGAGCCACGTGTCGCTGTGATCTACCGGGTCCCAATTCCCGGGCCTCTGTCTGCAGTTATACAACATTGGCAAGAGGTAAGCGGTAGTGGTTTTCACCTATCCGCGAGGTGAAGGGAGTCGGATCGAGTTCTCTCCTTCCGGCGAAACTAGCGGACGGCGCCAACGCCCATGCACCAGCATTCCTTTGAGAGCATTCGCAAGAAGGCCTTTCGAAAGGCTTGCAATAGGGTACACAGAACACAGGAAAGCATCCAGTATAGAAGCGGCGTGCTGACGCCTGAGCATCTGCGTCGCAGTGGACTTACCCCACCCTCCCCTCCCCTCCTTCCTGTACAGCCTAGTCCCACGGATCCTTCGGCTCCCTCAGGCCGCACAGACAGCTTCCGCTCACGTCCGCGAGGTGGACGAGCCAGTAAGTCGCTCCGTGTCCTCTCATGGAACGCTGGGCACCTTGGCATCCAGCAATGGGCAGAAGTGAAGACATGGCTACGAACCGAGGCCCAGTATGTCTGTGATATTTTAGTCCTGCAGGAGACGCACTGGAGCGAAACAGCAGAGTTTGACGTTGAGGGTTGGCACTGCATAAGCTCTGCCACCAAGGGAGCTGCCAGGGCACCCAAAGCCAAATCAACTTCAGGGCAACGCTCAGCGCGAAGTGCTGCATCGCAGCCGGCGCTACATGACACTGGTCGTGCAGATGGGGTTATGGTCCTCCTCTCCCCCTTGATAGACAAGAAAAAGATTAGATGGCGTGAACAACGCCGGGGCCGACTCATTCAAGTCACCTTTCCGTGGCTGGGAGCTCGAACTCATGTCTTTGCGGTCTATCAACATGCGTGGTCTTCTAAGAAGACTCCTCAACAAAACAAGGAAGATCGCTCGCGCCTGCTGAGTGACCTGTCCTCATCCATCAGAGCTGTTCCGGCGAGGGACACATTTCTGCTGGCAGGTGACTTCAACGCACGCTTGACCCCGCAAGAGGGTCTGGTAGGTAGGTGCAGCACTAAGCCAGAGCACTCTCAAATGCAGGATGAGCAGTTCCAGGCCTTGGTTTCCTCTCACAGACTGGTAGCGCTCAACACTTGGTCCTGCGGCACTGGACACACCTTTTTCCTGAACGGAAAGGGCTCACAGATTGATTTCTTGCTGACTTCTGAGGCCTCAGCGAAAGGTATGGCCAAGCGCGCTGGGCCCCGACAGGACCTGCAACTTGGACAGTGGAAACGTGGAGGTCATATACCTGTATTCGCTCAGTTCCGCCCCACCCAGCACTGGAATTTGCCCAAACCTTCCAGCCCCTCCCTGACCTACAATAAGGAGGCCCTGGAAACAGCAGTTCGCTCTGGCCTGCCTATTGCTGACCGTATGCAGGCTTGGGTGCGCCAGCGCCTATCTTCCAGGTACCACACGCCCGACGAGGTCAACCAAGTGCTGCTCGAGGCCTCTGCTATGTTTTTTCCGAAACCCAGACCTCAGCAAGTGCCGGAGACCGCGCAACACCGCGCAACCTTGCGCATGTGGAACAGAGTAGCACACATTCGCTCCCTACATGAGGACTCTGTCACCACACTAGCCGACCTAGATCAGTCCCTGGAGGACCTGAGCCGATGGCACAAACAGGCTCTTTACCTGGCGAAGAAGGAACGCCATCGTGCATTTCAGGCAGAAGTTGATGAAGCATGCGCCCGCCATGACTCGTACATCGCTCACAAAACCCTCAAAAAACTCAGGCCATGGGCACCACAGACCAAGGCACAGCTCCAGGGCCCGGATGGCTTGCTTTTGGACTCACACTCAGAGCTCCGTTTGCTCCGCGAGCACGTGGAACAGGTTTTTGCCAAGCATCCTCCCCTAGATCACCATATCACTACTTTGCCGGACATCCCGGCAGGACTGCTAGCCAAGCACATCGGTTCCATACGACCACACAAAGCGGTCCCTCAAGGCTCCGCACCTGCGGCGTCCTGGCGATTGTGCTCGGCGGATGCGGGTGAGGCTTTAGCAGCAACGCTGCAATCCATTGGGCAACGCCCACAGTCGGCTGAGGATGTTCTTCAGCCACCGCTCAAGGATGCTGACATGTGTTTTATTCCTAAGCCCAACAAGCCAGCCACGAAGCCTAGCAATCTGCGTCCCCTGGGCATCATACGCCCTGATGGGAAGGGCCTGGCAGGGGCCTGCAGAGACAAGCTATCTCTCTACACGGCTGAATATCTTCGGGGCCTTCCTCAGTTTGCCTACCAACCCCAACGCGGTCTATCTGATGCGCTAGGCAGGGTCGTAGGACACGTCACTCAAGTGCGCAGTAACTGCCAGGAGGCCCGGCGAACCAGACACCAGCTTCACGCAGGACATACACGTCCTCAGCTGATAGGAGGCATTTGCTTTGCTTTGGACTTGTCGCAAGCCTTCGATATGGTGAACAGGTCCGACCTACTTAACACACTGCACGACGCAGGTGTCCCACAGGACCTTATCGATCTTGTTGCCTCCTTGCACGCAGGCAGTTTGTACACTTTTCGCACGCAAGGTGAAGCCGATACTGTCCAGTCCACGGCGGGCATTAAACAGGGATGCAAGCTTGCTCCCACTCTCTTCTCTATGCTCACAGGCACCATCTTTCGAGAACTCATAGCTCTAGTAGGAGCTAAAGCTGTAGTGGACTACCGCACCGGCTACGCGGACGATCTGACAGTCCACCGAGACATTCACTCGCTGGAGGATCTAGAACGCGCTCATGCTTTGATCGAGCAGTTGCTGCAGTTGGTCCGCAGTCATGGCTTTGCAGTGAATAATTCCAAGTGCACAGTCATGGTAAAGCTTGAAGGCCAACAGGCGCAACGCGCCCTGTCTCAGCACACATATTGGCGCACCGCGTCTGATGGTACTCGTCACAAGATGTGGCGGTTGGGGACATCCAAGTCTCATGAAGGCTTTCCAATGGTCACGTCTTTCAAGTACTTAGGAGTCATGCTCTCCTACTCGAATTTCGAGAAGGCCACTCTTACATTTCGGCTGCAGGAGGGCAACGCCAAACTGCAACAGGTACGTCGCTTCGTACACAACCGACGCACTGCAGGGCCGAAATCGAGGCTCCATATCTGGCACAGCACCGTCTGGGCGACGGTGGCCTCTGGGCTAGTTGACGTCGGTCTCACTCTTGACACGGCTCGACTTTTGCGCGCCTGGCACGCTCGCAAGATTCGTGCGGTTCTTAACAATCCGGTGCATCTCACCCACATGTCAACCTCTGACCTCTACGCTTCCTACGAGATCATAGATCCAGTTTGTAAGCTACAGGCGCGACAGGCCAATCGTGTCAAACGCTTGCATCTCCGCCAAAAGAAAACACCGGCAGGAGATGTCTCGCTGACACAGACAGCAATGCACCAAGCGGCAGCACTCTCTGTTGGGTATACAGAGGTTCTCCAGCAGCTCTCCGAAGAAAATAAGCAACAGGAAGCCTCCCAATCGTATACATGCCCGGGAGGGGGGAGGGGGGGGGAGGCCTGGGAGGGGGGGGGGAGGCCGACAAATCAGGTAAAATGAGGGGAAGCCGGGCAAGGGGGTGGCAAACGAACGCAAAAAACGGGTGTCCCCAAACATTGGGACTGCAGGGAGGAGGATTAGGTGGAGGGTACCTGAGCTAACCCCCAAGACGCCTGGGCCTGTGGCCTCGGCGGACTTGAAGCAGATCAATCCAAAACCCAAGCTCCATGCCCAGCGCCTTGACCCCTGAACTCTACACTAAGCCCTTCAGCTCGAAGAGGTTCCGTTCCTCCTCACTCCGGGCAAAGTCTATGCCTTCCACTGCAAGAGGCTGAACCGATTCCTCAGCCTTCGGCTCAGATTCGAGTGCTTTTATAAGGGGTCCGGAAGGCTAGGGAAGGGGTTCCTTGCAGGATTGTTTAAGTGTTTAAGAAGACTATTACAAGGTTCCTTAGAGGTTACTGTGAGGGCTTCAAGAAGGGCTTATAACTTATAAGTTACGAAGTGTGGTTCGGGGTTGAGCTTGTAGGTAGTTAGAATGTGGGGCCAGAATCTAGTAGTTTTCTAGTGTATCTACATGGATTTTGTGAGAGAATATTCTTCCTAACTCGTCACATGTCTCGGGCGTGTCCGGCGAGGTCACACGTTCGGGCGTGCTCGTTATCAACGTGCATTCACCCTGTGTTCTTTTTGCTAAGCTCTCAAGATTGGAGGGTTGAGTCTCTAAAGACGCGGCCCACATAAAGCATACCCCAAAACCCTATTCTAATTATCACGGCCCCTACATTAAGCAACCGATTGAGGGAAGCCTAGCGAGGACTCGGGCCAATCGCGCGGGCTCTGTCACTCTACAGACTCGTCCCGTCACTGATATTTCGTGGATGTTTAGAGCGATAAACTGACCAGCTCCTGAGGCATGACCGAATCTGGTGCAGATCTCGTGCGGAGTGAAGCGAAGTCCGAGCAGGAGCTTCGCAAAGGAATGATTTCGGGTCAGACATGGCAGGTATATGGGCTATAAATGATTATATGCACAGAGTGAGGGCTGTCTGTGTGTGTGTGTCGGTGTGTGCAGGTGGGTAGGTATGTGCATGGGTATGTAGGTACGTATATAGGAACCCGTACGCAGAAAGTTGGGTCATGCCAGTTGCTTCAGGTTTCGGGGCATGTCGGCTAAACTTCCGGGCCGACTTGCAAAGGCTCCAAGCTTCACCGGGTAAGCCCATTACTACCATACTACTACCAGACTACCATACTACTACCATATAACTACTATTACTACCATCCAGTTTCCATGCATTTCAGGGTTTAGCTTTTTCAGGGGTCCCCCTTGCTTGGAACCTGCAAGGACTCCCCCAGGTCCCCAAGCCACCCCTTCCACCGGTGCAAGGAGCTGCCGGGCAATTGGACCCAGGAGCGTTTTGCAGCCTCTTGCCTGGTGTTCTTTAAACCCTTGGAAGTCGAAATCCGCAGGCTATGAGTGGCCCAAGCACCCTAAGTCGCTGCCCACAAACCTCCAAAAAACCCACTTACCTCAGCCTTTGCTTTCAAGCAAGCCTTGCTTTTTTTGGTCATGACAGTGTCGGGCTCCGGGGCGGTTTCGGTGCGTTGGCTTTTGATCTGATGCGAGCAAAAAACAGCGACTCATGCGGCTTTACGAATTCGGGTCTTGGGTTCTAGGAGTCTCGGGAGTCTAGGATTTTATGGCTCCAAGGTCAAAAATTAAGTCTCTTCTCCTATGATCTTTGCACAAGCGTAGCACCATCCTAAACCCTAAACCCTAAACCCTAAACCCTAAACCCTGGCTTCAAGCGCAGTTCGGGCGGCACGAGCCGCTGGCCTTCCAGGTTTCACACGCTCTTTGCCCGATCGCATGAGGAGTGTGAGAAGCTACATGGGAGTTAGGGTACCTTATGTTGGATTCCTTATAACTTATAATAAGGATGCTACTATATAGGGTACTATATTAGGGTCCCCTATTTTCGGAAACTTCCACATGTCGATGGGGACATGGCTGCCCCAGGGTCTGTCATTCGTAGTAAGATGGAAACCACCAGAAAACAGCCCTTAAGAAATTAAAGAATCCATGTAGCCCAAAACCTTACTCCAGCCATCAAGGCCCCGATCTGAAACCTTAATCCTATCATGTACCCCAACACCTACTCGAACCGCAAGGTTTGACTTAACAAAGCCAGCTTTGGGTTGGGGCTTTTCAGTTTAGGGTTTAGGTCAGGGCCTGAGGAAAGTGGAAGCCGATTTTCCGGTATGCTATCGTGCAGTTGTATAAGGACTGTAAGCCAATCATTAAGACCACCACAAGAAGCATGGTATCCGAGATCCGTTTACATTGCAACCCGAACAGCATCATGGCATACTGTGACGTGCCCGGTCGTTGATCCTGACCAACCTCTTGGGATTCTGTGCAAACCCCACACCCCTCAGCGCACCCCAAAAGCCTACCCACGGAGGTCATTGATGCAGGCAACGGCACTGTGTATTTGCAGAATGTCAAGACCAACACTTTCCTGATGATGCAGGGTGGTGATGTCTTGGGAAGCGGCTGGGACTGATAGCCCAAACCCTACACCTTTCTCTTGTTCAGGCCTTCTCGCAATCCACACCCTAATCCCTGAACCCTGAACCACAAGCCCCCAACGCTCAACAGGTAGCCTTACACGCTAAACAAGCAGTTCCTCAATCCCAACCGTCCTTTGCGAGTTTACCCCCAAGCTTCGAGGTTCGATTGATACAGAGGGCAAAAGAATTACCAAAACAGTTCCCTGAAGGGGCTCCTTAGCATCACTGTATACCCTGCGGAGGCCCATATGTCAAATCAAGGTTCGGGATTTCTGGCCTTGATCATTGGAACCATACTTTTGGAGTATACAGCTGCTGATTATTCAGAGTCCTAGATTAGTTTTGGCTTCGCGGATTTGGCAAGTGTTCGGGAATGACAGCCACCTACCCACCTAGCATGCAACACTACTGAAGACGAACATCCCGGAACATGTGGGTGGTTGTCAAAATTGTGGCCTCTTTGGGTACCTTAAATAATAGGTGCCGTACTATGTTAGGGACCCAAAAAGGGACCATAATTTTGACAACCACCCATGTATCCTAAATCCCCAACCCTCCATCCCAACTCCTCGAAGTCTCAGGCCATCCTGCTGCCGTCGGCGACCTCCCTCCTCAGACCGAGTTGGCGGCTGTCCGGTTCGCAGCCGCCCGACTGCACGGGCTGTTCGCGTTGAGAGCTCGACCTGAATGTATTCAAATTTTGTTCCTTCAGCCTGCAGTGCAACTTCCTAGAGGCAGAGGCCATGATGCAGAATGTACTTCCAGGGCCACAGACGACAAGTTTCTACACACTCCTTCTGCCGAGAAGGAAGTTACAAACGGTTCAAAGAGGTAATTTTTGGTTCCAGGCGCAGTGCGGCTTCAGCCATGGCAGCCATGGATCCTCGGGTGGTTTGGAGCATGGCGCTGGTGATTTGGAGCATTGTTTTAGTTCTCAGACGCTTCCTCCCTCCGCGGTTGCCGCCAAACAAAAGCACCATCAATGTCGAGACCCGGCGAAAGCTCTGGTGGCAGAGGCCCGCTATAACAAAGCTGTGTGTGGGGTCGTTTCCTTTTCCACCATATACTGCCAATATGAGGGATCCTCGGCTCCCACGTTGGGATGCCGGCGATTTGCCTCTCGCTTTGACACGAGTGACGACGAGCGCCGAGGTTTGGGACCGGCGTTTGTACCTCTGCGACGGCAACCTCTCCAAGTTTGGAGCCTCGGTGCCAGGTACCTTGGAGGAGCTGTCCGCCCTTCTGCGCGATGGCCAGAAGCCTTTGCTGTTGACCGCGAACAATATGAACCCATGCGAGCAGCACTTCCCGACTGTGACTTCAGGCTGGTGTTCAGCAGAGAGCTTCAAGATGCCCTGATGGACAATGGTGATGCCGTCTACTGGGATGTACCCGAGCGCCTCTGCGCACTTGTTGATGCACGGAACGTGACCATGAGCGACTTCGACAAGCGGCCGGAGCTCTCTGTCTCCATTCGGGTCCACGTGGCGGAGCTCGGGCAAGAACCCGACTTTCTACCAATGCTTGCTGAAGGCATTGAGCGGCTTGTCTTTGCAGGGACAGAGGCAGTCGCCTTAATGGAAGCCTATGAAGAAACCATCCGCACATCTCAGCATCCGGCCATAACAGAGGCACGCCCAACCAAAAGCTCAATGAAGGTGGATGCCCTTCAGCTTCCCATGGAGGCCCTTGCAAAGGCTGTGCCCAATGCTTTCGTGGAGCGGGTGCTGGCATCCACGGCATTGGAGTGGGTGGCACAGGACCCTGTGCGGAACGTCGTGGTGTGCGCAGCTCAGTCCTCTTTTCTCCACACCGCTGCCGTCTACATCACCGAACAGGAGATGGAAGAGCATGGAGATAGCCTCTACCACCTGTTGTGCAATCGGGGCGCACAGCGGGTGCTCTTCCACTGTGACCACAGCAATAGCCGGGGCCCCTCCGTAGCAGCATCATTTCTTCAGATTTTGTGCAGACAGAAGAACGATAAGATGCGGTCGTATGTGATCGACCATGGCAACAGTGCTAGGGATTTTCCTGGCGTGAAAAACCTGAGAGGTCAGGCCAACGAGGCTGCGCGTGCAGCCGGGCTTCGGGCGGTGCAAGTAGCCACGAAGCCCTGAACTTTGGATTTTTTTTGAGCCCAGACTTCCTCTCTGGGAAACAGTGGCCTTTGAAGTGCAGCCAGCACAGATCATGTTCGAAGAAAAGCAAACTGTTCTTTAGTGTTTTGTCGGGTTTTCCCACGGCCTGAGGCAAGATAGTGTAGTGCTACTCCATAGGCGGTTCTTATCACAATCAGGGTGTGCTAGACCCTGTTCTAAGTGTTAAGGACCTACATCACCTTTATTCCGAGACGTTTAAGAAGACTCATCCTGGTCTGCAAAACACGTCCTTACGGGTTCTCACCAGACTCGGAGCGTAAAGCCTGAAACCCTCAACCTTTGAACCCTAGAACTCGTAGTATGGGGGCCTTAATAACTACCTTTTCTATCTTTGGGTTCTTTTGTTAGAATTGTAGTAAAAGAAAACCCAAAACCCTATTCTAATTATTAAGGCAGAACCCTTAGAACGCCAAACTTCCCTTCGCCCCCCCCCTCGCCGAAGGTCATTGCCTTCGAGAACCAAGGGATTGGTCTCTACAACGTCCCGTCGAACCGCTTCGTCCAGATGACCGATCATGCACCTCGGCTGTGGATGGCTTAGTTTAGGGTTTAGGGGTTCAGGGTTTAGGGGTTTAGGGTTGAGGGTTTAGGGGTTC